CCACTTTCAGGCGCTGACGAACCTTCTTGACCTTGGGGGGGGGGGGGGGGGTCGCCACTTCACGACGGCAAATTCTCTCTAATGTGTGCGAATTCCGCAAATGACACTGCCTTTTAATTTGTACTTTTGGATCCAGCCCGTGGAGCCGTCCGTCCTTCTCCTCCAGCTCCTGGAGAGGACGATCCGGACCATCATGGTCCAGGTCAGTGACCCGCGGCGCCCGCAGCCGTGTGGCTCTCGGGAGGGCCAGGTCCCTGGCTACTCCTATGTCCTGCGGGTCGCGTCCTGCACAGCCCGGCAGCCTTCTCCGTGTCACGAGGAGACCTCCTGTTGTCCGTTTGGAATCCACATCGGATATTCAGTCGCACGCGTCGAGGAGACACCCCCTCCCCCCGCCCATCTCCACAGTCCGCGGCAGTCGCGCGGAGGTGAAGGTGTTCTTCCTCACGCCGCTCGCGGCCCCCGCGAGACCCGCCCCGCCCCGCCCCGCCCCAGCACGCTCCGGCCGGAACAGCAAACAGGATCACAGAGAAAGAGGTCCCGACAGAAGGCAGAGGGAAGGGATGGGGCGGCGAGTGAGAAGGCTCCTGAAGGATAGGATGGGGCGAAAGTATATTGAAGCCCGAAATAGGGAACGGCCGTATAACCTTCTTGGGCGTTCTCGGCCAGTGTTATTTGCTCCATACCAACTCGCTGGGGGGGGGGGGGCCACGGCGTGGGTGCACCGTTACAGGGTGTCAACTACGGCGGTACAGCACTACAGGACGCAACGCGGACGCTGCGGGCCGGTCCTCCGGGGGGCGTACCCGAGGCACGTGCAGCGTGTAGCTCTGGCAGCCGTGAAGCGGAAAGTCTCACTTAATTAGCCGCGGCGGAGCGAAACCTCGGCAGCAGCATCAGCCAGGGCCGAGGCCAGGGCGGCCGCCTGATACTACAGCAGAAATTGGTGCAGAGGCCCGGCGCTCCGGCTAGCTCCGGCCGGGTCCGCTGAGGCCGGGCACACAGCTCAAACAGCCCCCCGGGCCCCGCCCGCCCTGCCCTCACTACTTAGCCATCCGCCAAATTTCACTAGAGGCTCTTTTAATCCCGATGAGGAACACCAAAAAAAAATCAGCCTCCAGGAAACGAAACTGCGCCCTCTGGGCGAGGCAGCGAGACGCCCCCATTCCTACCCCCTACAACCCCTCTCTCT